AGTTAATGAGAGTTTTCCATTCACTCTGCTTTCAATTTTTCTTTTATCGAGCTTCGTTTAGCGTGATCCGGAGAATAAGCACATACCTCTTCTTGACTTTTCAAGATTTGAAAATCCGGATCAAGAACCCCAACTTAAATTTGTTTTCAATACTTCCTCTACTGCTGTTGACGAAGTTAGTCAGTCATTCTGCCAAATTCTACTTTTTTGTACCTTGGGTAGAAGAAGTGTTTAGTCGAAGACATTTATCTACATTGGAAAGTGCCGTTGTGAACTGGATTTGAGTATAGTGGATCGAATAGCTGATTTGTTCGAATCGCGTCCATTTTTTGATTTGCCCTCGTATCGACGTTCGAGGCTAGATAGTATTGTCAGGTTGGTTTGCATGTTTTCAAAATCCCTCTTCAATGAATCCTTTCTTAGCTTTGAGAGTTTGCAATTGTGCATAGCATTTGCAATCATTAATAACTCTTTTTACAACTGTTGGCGCTTGCATCATCTTCTCTTTTAGAAAAGATCCGTTGCAACTGCGCGAAGATCTGTTTAGTATCCCTGTTGTTGAGCAATCGAAGAAACTGATGATTGTTGTCAAATGCCAAGATCTCGAGCTTGATTTGAGGTATCACAAATTTTGACTAGCATCGATACCGAAAATTGATTGCATACCACAGAATTCCCGTAGCTGACTTGCGAAATCCAAATGGAGCGAGAATGCCGTATCGACAGCGTCACGTTCATTCTGAATACATTGGTTTACATGTGAGTTCGATGACTGTGGAAGTCCCACTCGGCGGAGAAAGTACTTTGTTTGAATTGTTCGCGACGGAGATCTACGGTATGATTACTTGTGTTGATGTCTTTAACTTTAAAATTCCTTCATATTCTAGGAAGCTTTTGTGGGGTCTCGGATAAATTTTCATGTTCTGATGAGGATCGACGTTTTCTTTGGGGTGGACAAACATCAGTGGATGAACCAGTCCAGTATGTTTTTTTCAGCTTCTTTGCCTGATTTTTATGTGTCTGCAAAGTTTCTGAGGATTGCTACTTATTTTTCTATTGGCTTCCTTTCATTATCGGATTTTTACATACAACGAAGCTTTCATTTAGCATGAAATTCGAGTACGATCCTCGTAACAAAGCTTTGAAGGCGTCAGGTACCAAAATACACTGTGTTAGCGGACTCGGGATCAATGATGATATGACGAAGAGCATCTCATTATCAGTCATTCAGTCTTTACCTCATAGAGAAGGTCCTTTTGCACAAACACACCGGTCGTTCCTGCATAATCATGAAGAGGATAATGATGTAGGTTTGCAACTTGTTTCATTTTCATTAAAATGGTTTACAGCCTGAACATTTAGTTAATCTTGGCGGGTTCACGCGAAGAAATGACCGCCTTCGGAGCTAAGTGCATTCTTCAGTCTATTATGGTCATATCACTTGATATCCCTCTTCTACGAGTGTTGATACCGAGCCATTCGTATCTCGAAGTGTTGTACAATCGGCTGGTACGTGTGTACTCTTTCCAATGCTTTTGACTATTCAGCTATCTACTTTGCTTAGGTTAACGATCTTCTCTTGTGGCAGCCAGCTGCACCCGCCATGAGACCAGGTGACGAAGAGTTCAAGATAAACGCCCTCAGTGATGACATGTTTCATGAGTGTGGAGGTGATCCTATGGATAGATGTACGTTTTCTAATTGTTTATTTCAAAAATACTGAAACAAGCAAGATTTAGTTGATGATGATTGTGAAGAAGAGCGCTTCAATGCCTCGGTGCAGTCAAATGGATATGACAAGAACAAATCTCATATGCTGAGTCTTTTGTTGAATGTCAAGAAAGGAACAGCTGTTATGTGTACTGCCATAAAGGAGGTACCGCCTAACATTTAATCAGTTTGCCATTCATTCTCTATATACAACTTCTTTGATTTTTGACTCACTCAATCTTTACCTTGTTCTGTCACTACATTGCCATTCATTCTCTATATACAACTTCTTTGATTTTTGACTCACTCAATCTTTACCTTGTTCTGTCACTACTTCAAAGCTTATATAATCAAGTGTGAAATACTGATTTCATTTTTTTTCTGCAACGGCTCTCAAAAAATTCTATATCTAGGATGAAGAGCAGAAAGGAACTGGTCAGGTCTCCATGGAGCTGTCAGACGCACAATTGTTTGCAGTAGGCGGCTATCATGGAAGGATGACTGATACTTATTTTTATTTCACTACACATACCGTTGGTGTTGGGCATAGAAGTAAGAGCAAATTACTTATTTGGGTTCTTCCTTCATTAACGCCGTCTTTATATCATTTCCCTCTAGATGTTTGCTCCATGCCAAAAATTGTCAATCAGCCTGACTTTGGTAAATGGAGCAAAGACGATACACAAATGGACTCAATCCCCACTGGCGATGAATTTTGTTCACAGTCTAGCGACGATGCAGTTGGTGTTGCTGTATTCTTGTGCGAGCGACCTGGCCAAAATATCAAGGTACGAATAGTTTGGCTACTGCATCTTCCATAGGCAATACATACGACAAATGCAGGATGTGCTGCTGGCGATAGCAATACGTAATAGTTGCTTACAAGTTCGACCTTTCTCGAACTTGAAAGAAACTTGGGCGCTACAGTTGGCGGACCTGTTCACATTGCAGGATTATCCTATTCCTGGTTACGAACTCCCTGTTGTGACGGTAAGTTGCCCTTTATCGTT